CGTGGCAGTTGCTCGGCTGCCATGGCCATGGTGGCCATGAAGCTCACAGCTCGCACGCGGACAGAGGGCTCGGGCGTCCATGCCAAGGGGAGCGGCGTCGGGTTGCTCGCCCGTTTTTTTTGAAACAATTTAACAACTAGATTTAATCGTACGAAAGACTGAAGGTATTCAAGCAGACACGACGTTGAACCACCACCGTTTTTGAAATCACAACGGCCAGAGTTATAGGTTCGAAAAAAAAAACTTAATTCGACGAGGAGGGCCACCCTGCGCAAGTGCCAAACGTCATAAGGCCAGCATGAATTCTTTTTCGGCCTCCTCAAGCCTAGGCCACCCATACGCCTCCGCTTTTCTCCATTTTCCCGATGTCCTCTGTATTGTACTTTTTATCATCACGCATCAACGCTCGATCTCCTCGGCGCTCAGCCGCCCCTAGTGACCGGTGATAGTTATGTTCTTGTTGCACGTACCTGCAGTATGTTGTCAGCGTCGATTTCAAAGGTAACGTTGATCTTCGGCTGGCCCCTGGGCGCTGGGGGGATGCCACGGAGAGTGAACTTCCCGAGGAGGATGTTGTCCTTGGTTTCCGACCCCTCGCCTTGGTACACCTGAAACAGCACTTGTGTCTGGTTGTCGTAGCAAGTCGTGTAAACCCTCTCCTTCTTGACCGGGATGGTAGTGGTCTTCGGGATCAGCACGCTCATGACACCACCTTCCGTCTCCACCCCAAGTGAGAGTTGTGTGACCTCGAGCAGGACTACATCCCGCACTTCCTTGAAGCCCTCATCGTTGAGGAGCGCTGCCTTTACAGCGGCACCATAGGCGGCAGCCTCGTCCGGGTTGATACTTGTGCAGAGTTCTTTCCCGTCAAAGAAATCCCGGAGCAGCTCTTGGACTTTCGGGATCCGGGAGGAGCCACCCACGAGCAAGATGTCATCGATCATAGACTTGTCCATATTGGCGTCGCTCAGGCACTTCTCCACATGCACAATGCAATTGCTGAAGAGGTCCATGTTGAGCTCCTCGAACTTTGTGCGGGTGATGACACCATAGAAGTCGATGCCGTCGTGAAGTGAGTCGATCTCAACGGTTACCTGGGACGCATAGGAGAGCACCCTCTTGGCCTTCTCGCAGGCCGTCCTGAGCCGGCGAAGCGCCGTTGGGTTTTTCCTGATGTCATTCTTCTTGTACTTCTTAAGGAACTCCCGCACTAAGTGTTTCACCATGTGGGTGTTGAAATCCTCGCCGCCGAGGTGTGTGTCACCGGCCGTGGCCTTGACCTGAAAGATGTCCATCTCAATGTCGGCACTCCGATCAACTTTGACAATGGAGACGTCCAAGGTACCGCCACCAAGATCAAACACAAGCACAGTCTTGACTTCGTCAATGGGTGACATCTTGCCCAAACCATAGGCAAGGGCAGCGGCAGAGGGCTCGTTGATGATGCGCATGACATTGAGGCCGGCGATGGTGCTGGCATCAATGGTTGCTTGCCTCTGGGAATCCGTGAAGTAGACCGGGACGGTAATGACAGCATTCTTCACCTCGGTGCCGAGGTAGGCCTCGGCGATCTCCCGCATCTTGCCGAGAACCATGGCTGAGATCTCCTCGGCCTTAAACTGCTTCTCCACGTCCATATACTGCACCACGATCATCGGCCGGTCGCTGGGACCGGAGACAACTTTGAATGGCCACGTGGACGTCTTGATGTCTCCTTGCACCAACGCATCGCTAAAATGCCGGCCAATAAGTCGCTTCACATCTGAATGGAATAAAGATTCGTTATTAGTCATGTGTATTTTTTGTAGCAACGATATAGCCATACAAACATTCAGAAGAAAAAAATTAATAGATATGCAAATTTTACATTCTTTTGAGACGTGGGAGTAAATCAATCTGCAGATTATGGTACAAATCGCAGACATAGGCCACCCGTGCATTCTTCAATGTAATGCTAGCTGGCAGCAGCATATGAATTCATGATAAGTTGGAAGGGCTTGCTTAGCGGAAACTGAACAAATGTATTGTGCCAGAATCATATATACTAGTACCTTTTCTCGAAACAGATACCACTTTTTTTTCTTCTGTGGAAAAATTTCTTTGTTATTACTATCATCTTGGGATAAGAAACTAGTCAAAAACTTTTGGGAGGAGAAATCAACACAGAAAATGGAATACCTAGCTATCACCAAAAAAATCTTTGTGAACTGTTCACTTAGCTTGGCGACTGCTCCTGATGTCAAAAAAAAAAAGCGTGGTGACTGCTCCCTGATTTTAGCTAACGGTCGCTTAAATTTTTCGTAGAACTCATACTTACGAATAGAACTGCTCCTAAAAAAAGTCAGAGATCTGGAAGCGGATGGCAGCGGTTCCCCTAAAAAAAGATCTGGCATTGGACTAATCACTACCCAAAAAGGCTATCGGACTAATCATTTGGTAGCCGAAGAGAATAAGCTTTTAGCATAAATTAAAATTCTACTCCGCAGGTGTAAGATGAAAGCAGTTATGCATCAAGGAGTAGCTAGGGTAAGATATCTGATCTCACCGAAGATGGTGTTGACGGGGTTCATGGCGGCCTGGTTCACAGCCGCGTCGCCGATGAGCCTCCATGCGTCGGTGAAGGCAACGCAGGACGGCGTGGTAAAGTTGCCCTGGTCGTTGGCGATGACCTCCACACGGTTGTGCGACTTCCGCCAGACGGCCACGCAGGAGTAGGTCGTCCCGAGGTCGATGCCGATCGCCAGCCCGTCGCCCTTCGCGCCTGCTGCCATCTCCACGCGACAAAAGTGGCAGAGGAAAAGGAATAGTGTGACGCTTGGGAATTGCAGGGTTCTATTTAAACGCGTAGTGGAGGAAGGCGAGAGGGCCGTAGGCTGGAAACTAGCTATAGCTAGGAATACGAGGTAGGAGTAGTAGTTGTACTCGGAAGCCGAAGAAGTTTACACTGGTCAACGAACCTCAGCAGTAATTACACAAGCCAGATGTACTCCGTGATTTGAAGGGTTGTTCGTGCATTTGAATCCGGTAGAGTTTTTATCACACCATTGGAGATGAAAGATTTTTTTTTCGAAACGGAGGCAAAAAAATTGCCTCATCAATTAATTAAGAAGAAGAGAATTGCCAGTTAATTTACGGAAAACTGGGCGAAAACCGATACAAACAACCCAAAAGAGGGCTACTCATAGAGCACGAAGCACCACGAACACATACACTGCTCACCCAATGCTCATAACACACAACACTCACAACCTTCAACACTTGATGAGAACATCGATGCAATGACTCCGAAGATCAAAGCCACGACGACGACACGAGAATGTGAGCACTATCCATCATGAAATCACGTATGCGCTTAGCTTAGCCCCGCTCCTCCTCGTGCTCTCCGCCGGCGGCCACTCCGGCCCCGGCGTCCACTCCCCTGCGCTCGCTCCGGCGCCTTGTGCCGGCGGCCCCCATGGCCTCCATCTCCCCCTCCCCTTCCGCCGGGTTGGGTCGGACTCGCGAGCTCCGCTGGCGCGACGACAGCCCGACGGGCACGCCTTGTGGTCACCGTCCGTGGTCGTGATCGCCGCTCTCCTCCGCGGCCGCGGCGTGCTCCGCCCGCGCCTCGCCGCCCCCCGCGCCGCCACTCCTCCCGGGATCCTCTTCGTCGGGACCCCCCTCCTCGGGCTGCCGAGTGCCCCCGCTGCCTCAGCCCCAGTCCGGATCACCGCCGCAACGAATGTCGTCGGGACGTCCGCTGCCGGCCGCCACTACGGCCACATCGCCCGGTACTGCACCTCCCCGCGCTCTCCCCGCCCCTCCGCCTCTCCGCCGCCCAAGCGGCCTCGCCCCTGTTCCCCTAGCTCGTCGGAGGCGAGCGTGGCCGGTCCCTGCGTCCCCGCATTTTCCGGGGCCAGGACTGTGTCGTCCTCCCTGGCGGCTTCGGTGGACTCTCCCCTGCCAGTTGTGTCGCCCTCGCTTGCGGCCTCGGCGGGCTCTTCTCTGCCGGCCTCGGCGTCCCCTTCTCCTTCCGCGCCGGCCTCGGCTTCCATCCCGCCCCCGGACAAGTCTGGCTCCTCGTCCGGGGCGGCCACCCCCCTATCTGGCCACCCTTCGTTGCGCCCAGCCGCGGCGGTCTGCTATCTCCCATGGTCTGCGGAGCTGGAGATGGCGGAGTCGGCGCTGGGTTTGGCCCTCATCGGCACCCTCGCTGGCAACCGCGTTGGCATCTGCGTCGACGAGGTCGCCGACGCCCTCATGGCGCGTTTCAAGCTCCACCGTGGGGACTTCTCGGTTCACCTTCATCACCCGGATGATTTCCTGATCCGCTTCCGCTCCATGGAGGATCGCGCCCGTGTCGCCGCTGGTTGCCTCCGTTCGCAGCGCTTCCGGCTGGTCTTTAGCCTCTAGAGCCGCCTTGCCGGCGGCGAGCCCTTCTCCGCGCGGTTCCGTGTGCGCATCGTGATGCGCGGTATCCCCGACCACGCATGGGGCCGTTCCTCTACTCTCACCCTTCTAGCCCCTTTCTGTCTCATCGATGAGATTGCGCCAGAGACCAGTTCGGGGCAAGACTTGTCGGTGTTCCGCCTCTCCGCCTGGACGGCCAACCCGGACGCCATTCCGCGCTCTTCCGAGCTGCTGCTGCCGGAACGGGACGGCATGCCGTTCGATGCCGACCCGGATCATGTGTCCCGCTTCGCACGCCCGCTGCTTCGTTTCCCTGTGTCCATTCATGTCGAGGAGACAGAGGACTACCATTTTCCCAGCCAGTCACCGCCTCCCGTCCCCGGTGCGGATCCCAACGCTGACCGTGCCTCAGATCCCTGCTGCTCTGCGTCTGACCCCCCTACTGTCAGCAACCCTGCTTTGCTTTTGGATAAAGCAGGGCCCGCCGCGTCAAGCTCTGTTGACCGGATTCAAACGCCGCCGCCCGCTCCCGTGCCGCTTTTGGAGCCCGCCTCGGTTGCGACACGCGCCGGTTCCGTGTTGGCCGCCGCGGCTCCAGAACCTTCCCCACAACGCACCCGGTCTCCATTGCCCCCACCTTCTCCTGTGCTGCTTTTGGCGCCTTCCCCGGAAGTGACACGCGCCAGCCCTGCGCTAGCTGGCACGGATCTCGTTCTGACAGCCGGCCTGGCCCCCCTTACAGCGTTATCTCCTGTCCCTACCCCAGCTGGTGCACCAGACGCGTCCTCTGCTCCAATCGGTGACACTGTTGCTGCTGGCCCCACCGGGCCACCGACTGGCTGCAGCGCGCTGGTTTCCGAGGATGATTCGCCTCCTGCTTTGGATCGGTCGTCCCTGGCGGCTAATGATGATCACCTCGTGGGCCCGTCCCCTTCCCCCGACGTCGTGCATGGCCAGGTCACTTCGACCCATGCTGCGGCCTAGGATGCACCACGTCTCCCCAACCCATGCAGGGCCATGCAGCCATATTCCCGACCAGATCAGCTCAAGGAATTCATTTCCTCCATCTCCGCTCCGGTGTCTCCGGTTCTGCCTACCCCCAGTCCGCGACGCGGTAGGGCTGCCCTCCCGCCTAGCTTCACCCCGGGCCGTAGCGCACGCATTGCCAAGGCCGACCGTGGGTTAGATTCTGAGGCAAAAGCCAAGCGCGTTCTACTTCTCCGCTTGGGCCTCCTCAAGGAAGACGAGCCAGTCTCGGACGCAATTCTCGTCCGCTACAACAAGCTATTCGAGCTGCCTTTGGCCATTGATGTCGTGCGCGCCTTTGCCGATTTCTACGGTTGGAGCATCCCACAGTCCGTCCTTGGAAGCTTGGCGCCCTCCCCTTCACTGCCATGCCCGTCCGCGGCATGATCCTAGCCTTTTGGCTCCCCGTGTGATACTAATTTCTTAATGATAGACAACCTCAAAGTTGTATTTTGGAACGTGTGCGGTCTTAATAGCCGTGCTAAGCGCACCGCTGTCCGCACGGTGATCCACTCCGCCTCGCGTTGTATTGTTTGCATTCAAGAAACTAAACTTTCTTCGGTCTCGTCGGCGCTCGTAATTGAGACTCTGGGTTCCCCCTTTGATGGGTTCTTTTGGTTACCGGTGGATGGTACACGCGGCGGGATCATCCTTGCGTGGCAATCTGCCGAAGTCGCTCTGTCCAACCCGATCGTTGGTGATCATCACGTCTCGGCTGTGGTGACTCCACCCCTTGGCGGCCCCCATTGGTGGATCACGGGTGTCTATGGCCCTCAAGGGGATGACGCTAAAATTGCCTTCCTCAACGAGCTCCAAGTCCTGTGGAGCAACATTTCTGGCCCCTGGCTCTTAGGTGGTGACTTCAACCTTGTCACATCGGCGGTGGATAAGAATAATGGCCGGATTAACAGGCGCACCTCCAACCGTTTCCGTCGTTTCATTTCGGACCACGGTCTCCATGACATCTACCTTCATGGAAGACGCTATACTTGGTCTAACGAGCAAGTTGTTCCTACCCTTGTCAGGAACGACCGAGTTCTCTGTATTGCCTCGTGGGAGGTGACTCACTCCTAGTGCCTGCTATGATGCCTCTCCTCCGCGGCTTCGGATCACTGCCCGCTGCTAATTGACTGTTTTGCTCGTTCCCATGGAGGTCGGCGCTTTCACTTCCAAAAATTTTGGCCTTCCCTCGATGGCTTCCATCAGGTGGTTAAGGATGCTTGGTGCTCTGTAGCACCTGACCCGGATCCTTTCCGACATTTCTTTGCGCGCCTCAAGGCCACGGCGCGGTGTCTTCAACGCTGGAGCTCGCGCTCCATGATCACGCTCTCCACGCAGCTCGGCATTGCGCGTGAACTCATCGCCCGTTTCGACGCGGCTCAGGATCTCAGAACACTCTCCCCCGCCGAGGCTTGGTTGCGCCGCGAGCTCAAGCTAAAATACCTGGGCCTGGCTTCTCTGGAGTGGTCGATCGCTCGTCAGCGTATTCGGCTGCGATGGCTCAAGGAGGGTGAGGCATCCGCGGCCTTCTCCAAAATTCACGCTTCTCACCGTGCCCGCAAGAACCATATGGTCGACCTCACTGTCAACGGAGTCCGCGTTTCTGGCGAGTCGGACCTAGCTAGGGCCGCCTTCGATCACTTCTCCTCTGCTTTGGGGACACAGAGCGACAGAGCCACATCCCTAAACCTTGATGCCATTGGCCACCCCGGTGCTTTTGACCTATCCCCTCTCGAGGAACCTTTTACCGCCGAGGAGATATGGGCCGCCATCAAGAAGCTCCCTTCTGACAAGTCGCCCAGCCCGGACGGCTTCACTGCGGAATTCCTGCGCTCATGTTGTCATATCATCAAGGATGACCTGTGCGAGGTTTTTGCCAAGCTTTACTCCCTCAACGGCCAGGCTTTCCAACGTCTTAACGAGGCTCTCATCACTCTCCTGCCCAAGAATCCGGATGTGACCACGCTCTTCGACTACCGTCCGATCAGCCTCATACACTTGGTGGCAAAGATTTTTGCTAAAGTTCTTTCCCTTCGCCTTGCATCGAGGTTGGGGGAGCTTGTCTCCCTAAGCCAGAGTGCGTTCATTGCTGGTAGAAGTGTCCATGACAACTTCTTGCTTGTTCAACAGACGGCGAGGAAGCTGCACCAACTCAAGCACCCACGGGCCCTCCTGAAGCTTGATATCGCCCGGGCCTTCGACTCGGTCTCCTGGGCCTTTCTCCTTCAGGTGTTGCAGCACTTGGGCTTTGGCCCAAGGTGGCGGGAGTGGGTATCCATCCTCGTTTCCATGGCTTCCACGCGCGTCTTGATTAATGGTACTCCAGGCCCTCCCATTGCCCACTGCAAGGGGCTCC